CTTTGGGCGTCTCCTAATAGCCTCCCCCCCTCATCTGCCCCCATCTCAGAGGTGCATGATGGGATACTTCCCCTTCCCCCTCTCCTCTTCTCCTCGTGCCGTCCTCATGTTTTGTGCTGGAGCACAGGTTCAAATGGTAGAGTTGCCAGGGAACAGTCAGAGGCCATTAGTGTTTGGGACGATTCGCCCTGCGGCGCTGCAGCACTAACCAGTGAGCGGGGGGGGGCATGTAGATTAGCAGCTTCACATGTAATGAGCAAGTTTGCCCTTTCTTTTCTTTTCTTTTCTTTTCTTCTGCCCCTGTCTTTCTCTCTCTGCCTGTCTCTGTTTCATGGCACTAATCCTGTTGCATCATTTTTTTGATTATTTCCACTCCTTTGACTCACTGTCATGTGTGGGACCATATTTTCACTAGTGATAGGGTGATATTTATTGGGCCAGTTTATCGGCTGACTTTTGGATAGATTATTGGTATCAGCTAAAAACACACCCTGCTATCAGTGCTCAAATGTACCAACAGGATAATTACATTTTTTTGTGTAAAATGAGTGTCCACTGCATTTCAGCAATTTTGTTTACATTTCATTCTCTGTACTTGATTTACTCTGATCTAGATCTGTTGAACACACACTGATCTCCACACATGAGTGTGTGTTTAAATTGTGTATGTATAGATTTGGTTATCAGTGAGTGTGTGTGTGTGTGTGAGGGGCGTCTGGTTTCACCCTGAGCGGTCAGGGGCCATAGGGTAATGAAGTGACGGGTTGGTCTGTAAATACAAGCGGGTCGCTCCGGCCGCTGTGAGCAGTAGGCTATCGTGTTGCAGTGAAAATGGAAACGTCAATAAAATTAATCTCGCCACCTTTTGGCCTGGTCTGCTCGCTGTGGTCCACTCATAACACACCACAACAAGACGAGTTTACACTCCCAAACACCAAACACACACACACCTCCTCCACTGATGTTATTAGAGCAAACGCCTGAACTCGCGCTCCGTTTGGCCTGCGTTTGACCACCACACAGGTCTGTGTTGTTCTGAGCGTCTCTGAACGTGCAGTTTGAATGAGTGTGGATTTCGGGCGTTACGAGAATATGAGCCACTACACGCCCTACGTGCATCTGTGAGGTCACTTCCACATCATTAGCATGGATCCACGCGGCGAGGGCGATAAAACAGCACTAGAGAGAAAAATAATAGATTAAAACAGAGAAGGGAAGGAAAGGCTTTCAACTGTCCTTGTATTCTTCATGTATTTTGCATTTGATTACGCCACCCATCTGATATGTTCTCTTTCCTCCTTTTTAAAACGATTAGTTGAAATATTAATGCGTGATTATTGCTCATATAGGTGCGCGTGATTGATGTCTCCCCAAAAACAGAGAGACGTGCAAGTGTAAATTTGTAGAATATCGCAGTGTAGCGCAGGAGTTTTTCAGATACATAATTTAGATGCCCTGAAGGAAGGCTTTCAAGGCATTTTCGCCCAAGGCCAAGAAAAAATAACTGACTTTTAAAAGTAAATCATTTTTGCTAATGCACAATTAATGGCAGAGGAGAAAGAAAGTAAGTCTGGGAAGTAGGTTATGAAGAGACCCGACCTGCCCTCACACATGCACAAGGAGTGTCAGGCGTGCTCGTGAAATGAGGTGCAGGAAGTGGAGGGGCTGCAGGGTCGTGCATTTGTGTTTATCACATTGGAGCTTTTGTCTTTGCACCAGTCCTCAGTATTCCTGCATGACATCAAGCAAAATAAGGATTTAACGTAAGGGTGTCTCTGTCTTTTAGGGTTTCTGTAAGTTTGTGTAATGTTAATGTGTAAGATTGTGTGCCACGTTTCTAAAAAGCTCTCCTTTCGTCCAGGAGATGGTTTAGACAACAGCGTGGCCTCACCCGGCACGGGCGACGATGACGATCCAGACAAGGACAAAAAGCGACAGAAAAAACGGGGCATCTTCCCCAAAGTCGCCACCAACATCATGCGGGCATGGCTCTTCCAGCATCTCACAGTAAGCCTTTGTTTTTTCTCTTTATGTGCTCTTTCAACCTGTGATTGGGAAAATGTGAGCTACAAGTAAAAGTGCTGAGATCTCACACTGAACTCTTACAAACCAGAATTAATATACTTTCATTGACATAAATATAACAGTTAGATCCGGCCCTCAGATCTGATTGGACGTTGAAAGAATGCCAACAGCACTGGGACTTTTCACTGTTTGCATCACTCCACTTCACTGTGTTGTTTTACTCAGCGACATGCAACAGTTGATCCTGATTTGGCTGCTTTTCTGGAGCGGTTTTCATTTGAACAGCTGAAATAAATGATTTAGCTATATTGTGAGCGTAATCTTCAGTATCAGAATATAAGCAATTTCACACTTGCATTAAGCTGAATCACAGCTGTAGTGATACTCACAACAAATGCAAATGTGCCATTACTAATTAACTGGCAGTGATTGACCACTCTAGTTCTGATAATGCTGTTTTTCATAAGTTCTTCCCAAAGCACATTTGTAGGGTTCAGTGTAAGTCTCCGCTGGTCCAAACGCTGGCTGTTGTGGCACGAGAGAGCGCTGTGTGTGTGTGTGTGTGTGTGTGTGTCGGTTTGGATGGGTGGCATGCAGGTCGTGTTCCATCGGCCTCTCTGATGTCACGACATCATCCGCGGCTCAGGATATATCGATCAGGACAGGAAGGGTCAGGTTTCTGAAGGAGCTGCTGCTGTCCCTGAGCACGTGAATGCAGCGTGTGCTCCACAGGAAACTGAGAACGGCTGCTGTGTTAGGACTGTGTGTGTGAGGGACATGTCCTGCAAACCCTGAAAAGGCCCAGAGTCCAAGTCTGGACCCGGTGATCTAACCCGAGCCAAAACAATAACGCTCCTTAAATACAGCTAATTAAAACGGCCGTAAATCCATTAGAAAGTTCTGTGGGATAATCCGAACTCTGCCATGCACTTATAACTCTCATCATCATCAGAATGACTCCACCGCAGCCCAATTTGACAGACAGACAAAGAAGCTTTGCTTTTCTCGGCTTTATTCTTGTGCTCTTTTCATTTGTCATCCCCTTCACACTCCCAGAACCGCTTGGTGTGCTCAGCTTGTGTGTAAAGTAATGAAGAGGGAGGCGTCAACCCACCACCTACCTCGCCGCTTTTACCCACAAACGCCTCTCGCTTCATTCACTCGGCTCCATATCACGCAGGAATTTCGCACTTTTTTCAAAGATCATTAGGCATCTTTACTGGCAGCTCGGGAGATCTCCATTCACCACATTCACAAGAGATGCACTCCTGTTCTTTGAGATTTGTTTTAAACGACATGAAAACATAAGGAGAATTTTCATTAGTGGAAATGCAGAAGTTTCCGTCGTCCTTTTAGATGTTTCTCTCATTTCAGAGTCTTTTATGAGCGCGAGCAATAATCCATCCTTTTTAACCCACCTTTCTATTTTTTCCATCCTTTTCTGACCAAAGAGACTTAATTTAATTATTCCGAAGTACCGACCGCAGCCCCCCGCGCAATCCTTTACACCGCATGGCCGTGCCACACACTAACACATCAGGCCTTTTATTTTAATTTGTTAAGCAAATGTATTTTCCAGTTCAGGATGCATTTGTGCGCGGGTGAATTCATGGGGACTTTGGCCCTGAATGGCCCGTAGCGGCAGCTCTCCATTCAACCATTCATTGGCGGGGGCAAAAGAAAAGCGGCGAGGTTGTATTTTCTCAACCGCGGGGCCAAAGCGGAGCTGCTCTTCCATGAGCGGTGGGGGTCCCTTTACATATGTTCTCAACATTGAGCCATTGTCACCTATTCTGAGGGGCTCAAAAGGACGTAACCCATTCCCTCCCCCCATTTCCATCCCCCACGCTCACAAAAAAATGCACCGGCTAACAGTTACAATTGTGGGCTGAAATCGATGGCCTCCTCTTCCAAGCAACACTCTCCCTCTCTGATGCTCTGAGTCAACCCTTATAAGGATGAAGTCTCTCTGAGCCAACAGCCAATCCCACAGAGGTGCAGAGGATGGACCCACAGGAGATACATGTGGCACATTCAGCACCTGACCGAAATGCTTTTGTAGAACTCCAGAGTTTGGGTCAGAATGCGCTGCAGTCGAAGCCCCAGAGATGTGCTCTTCCTCCTGGAGCACTCTGGATCTCTTCCAGTGTCATTAGCGGGAGGAAATCCCAGCTGGCTGCTGTAAGATTTCCCATACGGCACAGAGCTTATGTTATTGGAAAGATAAACTCCACTGTGGGGTGTATTGCTCTATTAGGCTTCATATTTAATGAGCAAGAAAGAGAAGGACCTTCTCCACGGCTCACAGAGAGAGACGCAGGGCAGCGGTGAAGTGTAGTTTGTACTGACATTGTCGCAGGGTCATCCAACAGTTTAATGGAGACAAACTTTGAATCCTCTCAATTAGTCAGTTGGTCTCCTGCTAAGATGAGGGTCAGCCTGCAATGAAAACAGGAAGCACTCAGTTACAAAGATAGCACTCCAGGCCTGTGCTGTCCTTTCACTTGGGTAAACCTTCAAAAAGCTGTGAAAATAAATAGGGTCATTTGAGGATGACCTGAAAGGCGACTCAACCAATGGCATGAGTTTGGGGTGGGGCTGTCTGGGGAAAACTGAATATTTATTAGAAAATAATTTAGGGCAGGACTAATCCATAAATCCACCCAATCTATATCCTTTTTATCCACCTGGATTTGATCGGGTCATGAAAAGTGAGCTGTGATATTGGCTAATGTCATTTTAACCCAACAACAACAACAAAAAAAATACCCAATTTTTACGTCAGCTGAAGAGTAACTTCAGTGGTGGAGAAAGTTATTACATGATGTTTTCTACAGACACTTATTAAATATAGGGCCATTTAATAATGAGGGTTGACTTGTTGACTTTAGTGAATCAGTGAAATACAGGCAGCTGATGAAAACATCCTTAACCAGAGACATAGCAGCAAGTGTCACATGTTAATTTCTCATCTGCCGCCTTTGATTCACGAGTTAAAATCGTCATCAGATACTTGTGTAAGCAAATAAACAGGATCAGCCAGTGATCAACCTGTAGAGTCACACAGTAAAGCAAACAGACCCGTTCTTGAGGCTCATCTTAGACTAAACATTTGGGCTGATCTGCTTTGACTGTAGCTGTTTGCATGTCTGATTCACGTCAGTGTTAATTTCCACTGCAGAACATCTGACAACAGTTTCAAACAATGGGCATACACAAACACAAAATGCACATTTAAAATACTCAAATTCTTCCTCACTCTCTCTCTCTCTCACACACAAACATGAAATGTGGTCTGTAGGTTCTCTTCACCCCCGCCGCATGTAAACTCTGGGTTTTCTCAGGAGAGGTTTCCTCCCTCACTGTGTGCTGTAATGCAGGGCATTCTTAAAGCAGCGGTTTCATTTAGGGCCCAGCGAGGTTGTTTTGTGACGCTCCGGGGGGTTGCAGTGGGGCAACACTAATCTATCATGGGCTTGTTTGCCCTCTGTCAGCAGTGCAGCCTATATAACAGTTCTGTTCAGTGAACTGTTAACACTGATGTGTTACTGATCAAGTAACTAACTATTAACATTACGACAGTTTTGCTAACTTTAACTGTGCTTATCAGCAAAATTCTTACCATATCTGAAAGTGAAAGCTGGCCATAGAAGAAGGCATTTTACACTAATGTGTGCTTTTACACCCCTTGTGGCAATGCTGAGAATGCAACGCAGTTTTGGTGAAGCTGTGTACTGGATAGTGACCCTAGAGAAAGGACAGACTCTGGCTGCTGTCTGCCATTTGTTCTGTTGATTCCTTCTCGTCAAACTGAGTTGTAAATCTAGAAATCAAGTATGTCACTGTAAACTGCACACTGCTGCAGTCAGCTGTAAGTGCATGTTTGTCAGAACCTGTGAATCAGAGAGGCTGAAAGTTCAGATGTCCATATCGAGTGACTCTTTCATTCTTGCAGGTCGTGGAATTAAATGAGAAGCCACATCCACCTTCTTTTCATATGTAAGGACTTAAAAATAGTTGCTGTCCATGTTTGCAAATCTGGGTCATCAGTGTGCCTGGGAAGAGGCTTTGGCATCAGCTAGCAATTGGCATTAAGTTGTTCAGCATCAACATTTACTTTGCCTCTTAAATTCATGTCTGTTGTAGGTGACATTTAAAGATATGCAGCATACACTAACATGCTTCAGCATTCAAAGGTGCTGTTTAGGCAGCAATAATAAAAAAAAGTACATTTGATTATTCGCTGATTTTAGGCACTTCCTTTAATGAGATTTGCTTTTAGATCACTGTGTCCATGTTTTGAACTGTTGCAGCTGACTTATGCTTAAATATGGCAGTTTGTAATAACATTTTTAACCTGAAGGCAGTTGTTGTTCCTTTATCTTGATCTTGTCTTTGAGCATCATCCTGTATGTTGTGTAAGTTATGGCATGTTTATCATGTTTCGATGCTTTTTAGAGATAAACGAGTCTTTCTGAATCTCAGAGACAGAGCAGAATCTTTCAGTTGAGGGATGACCTTGCTGACGCTTGGAATGTTCCTACATACTCAGACTGAGTCAGTATTAATAAAGATGGCTTGAACAGGCTGGAACATGCTGTTCCATGCATGTGTGTGTGAGGGGAATGCATCTACTCTGACATGAAGATGCACATAAACAGTGAGGAGAACAAGAACTTCAGTTTATTAACTCTAGATCTCACTGGACATATCAAACTGACCTCCACGCAGACAAGTACACAAGCCAAGGTGCCAATGCCTGTCCAGAAGATTGCAATAATGTGGTCCAGATTTGTTGTTATTCAGGAAGCTGTTATAAATTTGTGGAAAGTTTAACTAACTTGCTCAGCCTGATTCTCTTCAAACTGTTGCTCCTCCATGGCAGTTGTTGACGTAAAAGAGCAAACCTGTGATAGTAGAAGATGCTAATTCCTGCTGTAGCACCTTTTCAGAAAGGCTATAACTAATAAATTGTGTTTGTG